TATTTAAAAAAGGTTACCGTGCTGGCCTATGAGAGGGTATCCCTGTGTTCATCACATCCTTGACCTTCTTCTCATCCCTAAGCCTCAGGGGCAGTGTGGCGATGCCTTTGAGTACATTTACTTGGTAATTTGAAAATCTACAGATGTTAATATTTTTGAAGATGATAAAAGTGGTCTGAACATGAAAACATTCCTGTCATCCAAACTGTCTCACCAAAATAGCATGTAAATATTTTTCCAATTCTCTCATATCAAAGGCCTCCAAAACTAAAGACTTACGTTATAAATTTATTATAAAGGACAAAGGCATTTTCCAAGTTTCCTTCTTCCAGATACACAGATGCCATCCTCTCCATTTCTACTCCGGATCTGAAGTAGCGGCGTGGAGTGATGTCTTCGTTGATGGTGATATTACAACCAAGCTTGCTTAGGGCACGGACTCGCTCCTCCGGGCTGAGGGAAACATCTGTATGGTCAGGCATAGCAGCTAACTTTTTCTGCAAAGCAAAATTTGAATCTCTGATTACAAGAAATGACTACAACTGAAATTATAGCTGTATTTTCTGTGCTAACTACCTGACACCAATACCTAAGGAAAGCTTAAGAGTTAATGATACGATAAAAGCAAAGTCGTTTTGCTTCAACATGTGATCTACACAACAAAAAGACACACAACTCCAGGATAAACATATATATATATATTTTTTTTTTTTAATTGGGGTAAGAGCTCTTTTAGGTGTCAAGGTAAAATTGTATGGCAGTTTCTGTGTATGCAACTGTTTTAGGTCATTTTAAGTAAAATATCATTGACTCTTATTTCCTCATGAATGTTTCTATCCAGGGCCACATGAAACAGGCCAAGAGAGGGATTCCTGCCAGGCAGGGCTCGTGGTATTCTACTCTTAAGGCTCTTCAAGAGGTAGCTTGGATTTAAGGTTACTCTAGAATATATCTCGTTTAATAAGAAGTTTCAGAGGCCCACCTACATCTTCACCAAGTGAGTAAAACTCTAGCAATAAGTCCTGGAGAAGTTTTGGAGAAGAATACGGGCACCTCACTTTTTTTTAATATAAAAAGATGCCTAGGCCTCCACATGATCATAACTACACTAATTCATCCTTGACTGAAAAAAAAAATGGTAAATTACTAAGAAATAGTGATATTAATACACTCGTATTTTAAGTAAAAAACAAATCTGTACGCATTTGGAAATACACAGAACATATACATTCAAGATAATTATTAAATAAAAAGTGCTTCAGAAAGGCAAAAAAGTCAACATATATTTTTTCTGTTTAAAGACTATATAGCAAGTATTTTAGGCTTTGCCAGGTCATATATTCTCTGTGGCAGCCATTGAGCTTTGCTGGTGTGAAAGCAGCCACAAATAATGTATAAACAAATGATCCTGGTTGTATTCCAAGTTTTTATTCAGAAAAACAAGCAGGTGAATTTGGCCCTCAACCCACGGTTTACTGACCCATGCTTTAGACCAGTGCTTCTCAAAGCGTGGTCCTGAAACCAGCAGCATCGGCATTGTTTGGCTGTCTCAAAAATGCAAATACTTAAGAGGTCCCACCTCAGATAGACTCAGAATCTCTGGAGGTGGGCTTGGAATTTTAACTTTTCCCAGAGATACTTATGCATATTACAGTTTGAGAAGCACTGCTTTAGACAACTCTACCATCCTTTGATGCTCCAAGAATGGAGTTAGCCTAGAGAAAATTTAGCTTCCCAAATTCCCTCCAATCAGTCAGGGTAGGTTGCAAGTCTGACTATAGTGTGGGCAGAGCATTTGATTAAGGTCCGCAGAAAATTTAAAAAGAAACCGAGGTAGACATAGTTTTAGTCTGGCCGTGAATTACTGAACCAACCTTCAGGGACAAAATGTGGCAGTTTCTCCAATGCCATCTGATCTACTTTAGTGGTAATTTATAGCAGATAGAACCCTAGAGACCTGGAATGATTCTTGCTTCTAAAAGTTTAATATAAAACCAGAGAGCCATAAATGTGCTTCTCAAGGCCCCACGAAGTGAAAAGCAGGTCACACCTCTCATAACTTCCATTATTCTTTTGACCTGCCCTGCAGCATTGTGAGAAGCCTTCCCTCCTGTTTCTTTCTCTCCAAGAAGCTCTCACGGCCTTGGCTTCCTCACCCTTAACGTCCCTAGATATCCCTTCTGTGATTGCGTGGAAAAGCCGGTTTAATTTAGAGGAGAAGGGCTAAGAAGACTGATGACTTTCCCATGTTCACCAGGTCCAAGTTATGAAGAATAAAGAATGCACTTGATTTTGTTCCTCGCCTTGCATCTTAATTCTAGTTTTACTTGGTCCAGATCAGCGAGGTGTGTCTGGCAGCAATATTAACACTCAGACCCTTCCTAAGGGACTTCATTTTAAATTAACACACACACACTTCCTTCTATCCAACTCTGTTGTGCTGCTCTTCTAATTCTCTGAAAGACTTCTTAATTTCAGAGAAGCTGTGGGAGGTGACCCCACTTCAAATGCAGGAATCTCAGCTTGTGAACCCTGAGCCTCAGGCCTGGGTATGCACCATCTTTTCCAACTGAGAAGTCTCAGACACCAAAGCAACATAGCCACATTTCTCCGATCACACTCACCTATGGGGCTCATCAGTACTACATGAAATATTGTTATTCAACCACAGATAAATGCTTCACTGACATCAGAAAATGACTAGGGGAAAAAAAAATCTATTGAAATTGGGCTTTTTCTAAAGAGTGTTTCCATCTCCTGTATGTACAAAAGTAATTCTTCCACTTTTATTACTATACAGTACTCATTGAATTTTAACTATTTGTGTGTAAGAGTTTTTGATTCCTTATAAACTTCTTGAGGGAAAGAAATAATTTTCCATTCATTCCTGTTCTCTAAGATGTAGCATATCTCCTACAACACATATGGTAACCAATAAATGTACCAAATAAAGGAGAAAAAGAGAAAAGGGGCAACATGATTATAATTAGATTATCCTTTTACCTGAAGATAAAAATAAGATTTATTTCTCCTTTACTGAATGGCCCCATCTTCCCCAAATTAAAAATTGATGTCAGAGATAAACATGAAAATAGCCTAAAGTCTTCATCAATCTATAACATTCCATTTGCATGTGAGGTTCTTGAATGAAAATACAAAATTTAGAGATGAAAAAGCCTTTCTGTCCATTTTTACATTGACATGTCCACTTTTTAAATTATTCCTACATAATTTTCTAGAAAACCACAGAAGACACTCCATAAGGATGATTCTTTCCTCTGCAGAGGTGGACATGGAGCAGGCTTTATTATCCCACAACATGGAGTCAGAAAGTGAAAGAGTTCCCACAATTCTCCACCCTTCAAACATACTGTCAAAGCAACTGAGCTTCTTTGAGGACTTTCTTAGCAGAGTGAAAACATTAGGTCATAATCCACTTCAGAGCAAGAACCAGACCTTCTATTCGTTTATGTTCTGGTGCTCGGCTTTGTGTGCAGAGGGTATTCAGTATACTGCTGCTCTCCCGGCAAGCCAGGGTTGTGGCGAGTGGGCTGCGGAAGGTCGTCAGCATGAAGGTAGTGCTACTAACAGCTTCCATTTATAAAGCCCCCATGATAGGCTGGGAACATTAGAAATATTATTTCCAATTGTCATAAGGCATAAAGCACAAAAAAACAGGGCTATGGAGATTATATAATAATTATAATTCACACTCGGAGACTGATCTGGGACACGGAATAAGCCCATGTGATCCCACAGCTCCTGTTATTTCCTCTCCAGGACATTACTTCTAAGATGTAGCTAGAAAACATGTACACATGTCATATGGCTAAGATGAAGAGATTTTGCAGATGTATTAAGGCTCCTAATCGTTTGATGTTAAGTTAATAAAAGGGAGATTATCCTGGATGGGCCTGACATAATCAGGTGAGACCTTTCAAAGAGGGAGACACTCTCCATGGCCCATGCTGGGCTGAAAGGGGAAAAATGAGAAGAATAAGAGTTTCAGGTATGCAGACATTTACACAAGATCCCAAAGCAATGTTTAGGTGTTAAATATAAAATGTTTTCTTTCGTCATTACCACACAAGGTAAGCCTCCAATTTTTATCTGTAAAGAAGCAGAGGCACATGAGGTACATACGGTACCTGCTACAAAGTCAACTATGAAATTCTTCTCTCCGGTGCTCTCCGAAAGGACTACGCTCCTGGAATCTAACCAGATAAATTAACATTTCACACTTTGGGGGAGAAATTATTTTTAATTCCAGCAAAGATGGCTTTATTAGTCACTTCCTCAAAGGAGAGGGCCACACAGATGGATGAAAAACGACAAGTGCAAAACTTCTTGAAGTAACTGTGATTCATTTCGCATTTGGTATGTTTCTGTTCTTCTTTTTTGGGTTTTCTGACCATATGTAAAATATCAGTTGGCACTACCTACCAGAGAATTCACAGTAAATGGCTGATCCATGTTGTCCTGTCTGCAAAATGAAGGTGTTCACTGTTTCTTCTCAATCGCTTCATCTGTTTCAAAGACAAAAAGCAGAGCTAGGGTCATTTTTTAAGAACTCCATTCTCAAATCTAAAATCCCTAGAGTTATTTCTGCCTCAGAAGAATATGAACAAATTAAAACAACTTCAATAATCTCAGTTTTTAGACTGTTGGAAGTCGCTTCCTGAAAATACAAAACTGCAGATGGTTATGGTTTCTTGAAGCCGACCCTTAAACGTGCAGATTTGAAGAGAATTCATTATTGCCTACCACCCAGAACAAGTCTGTTAGATGTTACCTTAGCTAGAACTCTATGCAAGATTATAGAGAGGGTTTACGTTCTTCATTGGAAGAAAGATCATAGTGGTTAAGGGCATGGACTCTGAGGCTATGTACTCTTAGACCTAGAGTCAGTCTGGGCTTAAACTAAACCCTACTAGCTATGGAAGGTAGAATTCTAAGATGGCTCTATGATTCCTGTCCCTTGGTATCCGCGAGTTTGTGTACTTCCCTCTCTTTGAGTGTAGATGAAACCTATAACTGGCTTCTAATCAATAGAACATAGCAAAGCTGATAGAATATTACTCTCATGTATATATTACATCATATGGCGAAGATGAACAGATATCACAGATACATTAAAGCCCTTAATTTTATGATGTTAAGTTAATAAAAGGGAGATTGTCCTGGATGAGCCTGACATAATCAGGTGAGACCTTTCAAAGAGGGAGATACTCTCCTGCTAGCTCTAAAGACTCAATCACCATGAGTTCTAC